GAGAAGAACCCGCCCAGAAGACCTATACATTTTTTTTCTTTTTGATTTTTACCTGGATTACTGAGATGCATCAGGACACTAACTGAGGTCTATTGATCAACGTTAATGTTAACAACTGAGGGTGAAMGCTGTCAGACATTTTGTTCATATGTGTCACTTATCCACCAGGTGACAATATATGAACTCRAATACAGCTGTGRAATGTAAATGATAAGTCTTAAGAGAGCAACATGACAACATGTGACTCATGTTRTCTGTTGAWGAATGTTCATGGGTTGACTGGGTTATTTTAGTGCTTTAGAATTAGTTTTTGCTAAAACTTTCAGTGYGTTAGTGCATTAGAATTAGAGAACCTACATATTTGAGTTAGTGTTTTAGGGCTAGTGGAACTAATTTCTAGATTAGTGCTGCCCACCACTGCTTACCACATTAAGATGCCACCCTGTTGGGCCTACAGSGTGGCCTTTTCTGGACTGCATSCAATATTTTGATTTTTTCATGGTTCACAGTTACTCTAAGTACATAACCCTGATAAAATCAGGGTTTCATAATACAGACATGCAGAYAAAATATTTACAATGCTCAGAATTTTATTTTGGTGCAACAACATACATACATTCACAATTGGCACTAAACACAAAGAATGAATTAGGCAGATATGGTTTTCTGAAAAAAATTTTTTTATAATAAATTAACATAAGACTAACCATTGGTAAAGGCTAAGATTATTATAGGACTAGAATTTTTTTGAAGTTTTTTTCATTTATGTAAAAAAAGTTCCCTTCTGCAAAGGTCACCACAGTGAGCAAACTTAAATGAAAAATTTGGCAGTAGTTTTATATTGGACACCCTTTCTCACAACCCCGGCCTGGACTCACTAATTTGAGGATAACAGGACCACAGAACCGACCGACCTACTGTAGCCCCATAAAAAATAAGAACTGCTAAAGGTTAGCAAAGTRCAGGCCTTTGATAACTGTGTCAGCTTAATCAAGTGATTATCCATCATATTCTTAGTAAAAGGTAAACTTCTATTTAAGAAGTAGTAAACTTATTTTTTTCCTTCAATATAGTGTTATGGAACAAACATGTCGGTGATACATTTTATGCATATGCTGCATTTATGTGTCAACTTATATTACAAAAACTTTGAAGGTGGTATTCTACAAAGCTTCCCTGCTTAGAAATTAAATTTCAGGTACTAAGAACATGTTCAATCAGTTTAGGAAACAATGCACACAAAAGCTAATTAAATGTTGGCAATTTGTTTTGATGTAAAAAGACATCATTAAAACCAAATATGGCAATCAAGGAGAATGACAACAATAATGAATATAATACATCAAAATGCACAAAAGTAGACATAACTAATGGTTATTGTAACATGAAAAAAAACATAATTAAACCACGGAAGTTTTGTAAGAACACACCAGTTTGTTTGAAATGGAAATCCTAACACTTCATACATTGCTTGCATCACTTAAAGTGTATCTTAACTCCCGTGTGAAAAGATAACTCTGCCCCAAGGCGAAATTTGAAAAATGCATCAAAGTGGGTAGGGGAGAGG